ACACTGTTATAGAAAAATCTAAATTTATTTACATGGAAAATTGCTTTGAAGCAAGCTAAATTAGAACATTTTCTCAGTCTGATGCATGAGAATTATATCTAGTACTAAAAACTATGTAAAAGTAAAAGAGTAAAAGTAAAGGCCCTCCCGTTAATCATCGATTTGCTCGAGCGGGCCCAGTAACGTCTCCATTGGAGACTTTGTTGTTACTGTGTTTGGCATATCAAATACATCACGGGTGGCTTGCCAGGCTCTGCTGTGCGGGCGAGATATTCTCGGTAGCTTGCCGGGCTCTCCGAGAGGGGCGGAGGAATCGAACTTGGGTCGGCCATGTTGGCTGCATGCAAGGCAAACGCCCTACCGCTGTGCTATCGCTCCAGTCTTACTATGAATTAAGATTGTTAAATAATAAATTAATCATAATATAATACCAATTTAGTTTTAGTGATACAAAATAATTATACAAGATACATTTTCTGTCCGCCTTGCACGCAGCTGACCTGGGTTCGATTCCTCCACCCCTCTTGGAGAGCCTGGCAAGTTACTGAGAGTATCTTGCCCACATGGCAAAGCCTGACAAGCTACCCATGATATATTCGATATGCTAATAACAGTAACAACAAGTCTCACAATTTGTTGTGAGACGTTACTGGTGCCCACTCGAGCAAATCAATGAACAACAGGAGGACAGTGCTACATTTTCTGATTTTCTGTCTAATTATTACATAATCAGAGTTTCTATCATTTTGCTTACCCCGAAATTTTATGATTACTTAAGGTTCCTTATTTAATGAAAGTTTTGTTTTTAACTTCAAGGTACTGTTTTGCCACTTGGCTAAAAAAATAAAACCCCCAAAAAAAATTCTTTAGAAAGCCATGATTAACAATGGTGGTCAGTCCATATCACAGAGAAACACTGGCAGGAGATGGGAGACTTAGTTTTGCTTTTACCAACTTGGACACTTAGGCAAATATTTAACCTTCTTTAATTGCATTCCCTTATTTGCAAAAGAGATAATGTAAGTAATTATGTCTTAGAGTCTTTATCTCTTAAGAAAACTAATTAAAAGTAATCAAGGGAAAATATTATCTAGCAACATGGCCGACCCGAGTTCGATTCCTCCGCCCCTCTCTGGAGAGCCCGGCAAGCTACCGAGAGTATTCGATATGCCAGACACAGTAACAACAAAGTCTCCAATGGAGACGTTACTGGGCCCGCTCAAGGTAGAACCAGGATACCAGAGATCTCAGTAAACTAATATATATATATATATATATATGGATATACTGTAGCACTGTAGCACTGTCCTCCTGTTGTTCATCGATTTGCTCAAGCAGGCCCAGTAACGTCTCCATTGTGAGATTTGTTGTTATTGTGTTTGGCACATGGAATACGTGACGGGATATACATATCCATATCCATATATATATATATATATATATATACACACATATACCATATTTATATAGAGATACATTTAGATGGGGGTATGAAAATATCTATATGTAAATAACTCACAACTATTTTCATTCTAACTTCTTTTAATGAAATTAATGACATGATATGAAGATAATAACTCCTGACAATTATTTGTAGCAAACAATGTATTTTGTTTTTATTCTTCTAAAGGAATAGTTACATTTATTTTTTGCTTCTTATAGGAATGTAGAAATTAGACCAATTTTTAACAACTTGGGAAAAAATGGATAAACTGCTAAATTTTTTTTTCAATGCAACTGTAGGGACAATTAGAATTTCTGAGTACCTAAAACACCATACAGTGGACAAGCCTTTCTTTTGTGAGCTGACAACCACCAGCTGTTTTCCTTATTAGGAGTACCTGCCAGTTCTTGTTGTATGTTGTGGAGATTTGGACAATTTGAGGAATTCTCATTGAGAAGAAAAATTAATAGAACTCTCTACAGTCTTGATGAATTGTTAGAATAGTTTTGATAGAGATACAAACTCAAAGCAGATTTTCTTTCAAGAAAACTTTTGTGAGTTCCTGAGAAGTAAGATATTCTTCAAATCTGAATCTGAAACTTCAAAAAAGGCAGAATGAAATTTCTAACTTATTGAGTGTTTCAGAGACAAAGTCTTCTGATACAAAAAGAATCAATAAGTAACTCTAATCAGTCTGTCCCTAAAGAAATGTGCTGATATTTTAAATGCATTGGGTACAGGCCAACAAAATAACCTCAAAATATCAAAAGGGAAGTTACAAAGCTAAGACAAAACCCATGGTTTTCAAACAAAAGACTAAAAAACTCTATTGAAGAGCAATGACAAAGTAAAGGTTCACTTAATTATGTTAAAATGTCAATCTTGGGGCTGGATCGATAGCACAGTGGGTAGGGCATTTACCTTGCACACAGCTGACCTGGGTTCGATTTCCAGCATTCCGTATGGTCCCCTGAGCACCGCCAAGAGTTAATTCCTGAATGCATGAGCCAAGAGTAACCTCTGTGCATTGCCAGGTGTGAAAATGATTAAGTAACTAGCTTTTATTTAAATTTATGATTAGATGGCTAGCTTCTATTTGACAAAAGGGGGGACTCTCACTAATGGAAACTAGGTTAATTCTTCAGGATACTTTCTATTAGCAATTCCTTTTATAAATAACATTAATATTGCAACAAAAAATATTGAACATGAAGAGGTAAAAAATATGATAAATAATTACAACAGAAGAAAACCAATTCAGAAATGTTGATGAACAAAATATATATTTAAAAATAAAATATACAAATACATATGCTAAAGAAAAAATATGTAAGATGGAAAAAAATGGCAAATTTTATCAAATTATAATACATACAAAAATAGAATCATGAATATTCCAGACTCTAACAACTTAGTCACTAAAATAAGAACCTTAAATGGGCTTATTAGTCAACTAAATAAAAGAAAAAAGAAATTCAGAAAATATTCAACCTGAAACACAAGAGAAAGAACAAATTAATATAAATGAAGCATGTGGAACAAAGGGTCAAACATAATTTGCTCGAGCGGGCCCAGTAACGTCTCCATTGGAGACTTTGTTGTTACTGTGTCTGGCATATCGAATACTCTCGGTAGCTTGCCGGGCTCTCCGAGAGGGGCGGAGGAATCGAACTCGGGTCGGCCATGTTGGCCGCTTGCAAGGCAAACGCCCTACCCGCTGTGCTATCGCTCCAGCGTTCGCCTTACAAGCGGCCAACATGGCTGACCCGAGTTCGAAACATAATTAGTATAGGCTTAATTGAAGTAGAAGTAAGAGAGATGAGATCATATAGGAGCAGAAATAGTAGCAGATGAGAAACAACTAAGAAATTTTCTCAAACCAAACAAGATAACCTGACAAAAAACTAACTGAATTCCAAACAGTATGCATACCAAAAAAAATATATAGATATATAGTTATATGGTAAACTGTTGGAAGCCAAAACCATGACAAAAAAATTTTTTAAGTGTCCATTGAAAGGCACAATAATTTCAAAAGAACAAGAATAAGATAGACAACTGACTTTCAATATAACTGGGAATACAACAATCAACTGATAAAAATAAACAAGACTTCAATACTTGCAATTTAGAATTCTATATCCAGTGAAAAGAGCCTTTAAAATTCTTTCAAAATGTGACCCAGCAGGAGAACACATGCCTTTCAGGTGTGAAGCCCTAGGTCGAATCGCTGGCATCAGATAAAACGTATTTTCAAACACATGAAAGAAGCTGAGTTTGGGCTGAGAGTGACAGTACAACAGGAAAGGTGTTTGCCTTAAACACAGCTGACCTGGGTTCAATCCCCAGATCCTATATAGTCCCCCAAGCACCGCCATGAGTAATTCCTGAGTGCAAAGCCAGGAGGAACCCCTAAGCATCGCTGGGTGTGACCCAAAAAGAAAAAGAAAATAGAAGCTGAGTTATTTTCCAGATGGATTTTACTATAAGAAATACCAAAAGAAGTTTACAAAATGAAAAGCAAGTGATTCCATAGAAATGTCTAAAACTTCAGAAAGAAACAAAAGATAACTAAAATAAATATTATGTATAGACACAAAAATAAACAAAGGTTGTTTTAGAATTGAAAAGACATTTCACTACAATGTCATGAGTCATGAAATGAGCTATGAAAGGCTGTTTTGTTCTAAAAATTCAGATATAACTCGAGCATTGTATGACTGAAACACAAGCACGAAAGTTTGTAAGTCTGTAACTATACCTCGTGGTGATTCACTAATAAAAATTTTTTAAAAATAAATAAAAATTCAGATATAGTATTTATTCATTCTCCACATCCATCTTTTTATTTGGAGGAAGAGTCAATCCAGAAATACTAAATCATGAGACAAATTCTACACCAGATCTGTAGATGGGCAACAAGATGTTATGGAAGGAGATCAGGGTCAGATTCTTTTCTCTTAGGATGAGTTTCACATGTTAATGGAATTGGAGGAATTGAGGGAGGCAGAATAATATATTGAACTAAAGCACGTGACATTCATTAAGGAATGTGAATGGAATTTATGATGGAGCTTTTCCATGGTCTGATTTTCAGTTAGGTTGGGGGGCCATACCTAGGAGTACTCAAAGATCACTCCTGGCATGAGGACCATACGAGGGCCATATGCGGTGATGGAGATCAAACCTGAGTCAGCTGAGTGCAGCTGACTATTCTATCCACTGTCCTATCACTCTGGCCCATGATCTGATTTGTGTGTGTGTGTGTGTGTGTGTGTGTGTGTGTGTGTGTGTGTGTGATCTAAAATTTGAATTCAGAAAGTGAGAAATGAAGAAAAATTTTAAGCATTTATAAACCCAATAAATTAAAAAAATAATGAAAAAGAAACATTATAATCCTATCTATTAACAAAATGAAACCTAAGGAAGTTTAAAGTCGAAAAACAATGGCTTGATGTGAAAAACTGCCAACAGTTTCTCCTACATTAAAAACAGAGATATTTTTGTTCTGTTTTTAGGAGGAAAGGAACACAACCAAACAATCCAGTTTACATACCTGTAACAAGATGCTCCATAGGGACATTCAGGCCGATCATCAGCCTCATCTTGATCCATGACTGGTAAACTTCCATAATCATTATCACCGGGGTGACTGAAGTGTTGAAAATGGACAGGATTCTTTCTATGAGGGTGAGAAATACAGAGTCAAAAAAACACAGTCTACTAGACTTCAAGTTACACCAGAAAAAAAAAAGGAAAAAATAGGTAACAAAGAAATATATAACTAATTATTTCTGTAAATAAACATGCTTTATGATCCCCTAAACAGTTCACGACATCTAGTCAGTATAGAATTCTCATGGTAACAAAATTAGTTTCTGGTGATGTGGTAGGTCAGGAATGTCTATGGTCAATTTGTAAATAACACCTTACAGAAATACTTCTATATCTACATATTCAAATATCGATATATAATCACTGTCCTATCATCTCTCTTTATATTTCTATCCACACATATATTAGAGTTTTTCAAGATTTAATACAGTGAATATACTAATCCACCCTTTACAAATAAATATTATAAAACAGAACATAACTAACATTCTGGAAGCACCCACCTATCCCATCCCAACATTTAAAAAGAATTATTTAGACATCATGATATACAAAATTGAACTACAACAGGATTTCAGTCATACAATGTTTGTTCCTACCTCTAGGTAGGAACTTATAAGACAATGTTCCCACCTCCAATGTCCTCACCACCCAAAGACCCACCACATCTTTCTACCAAGTTCCAAGATTCTCTCCTATTCCACTTCCCAATCTGACTCCTTTACAGAATACTACAGTTTGGGTGCCATATTTCAGTGGTATTGGATCTAATCGTTCAGATACATACTTTGGACTAATAGTTTAGATACATACAAATACCTCACCTCTACACCTCAAGCTAGTCCAAGGCTCTTGGGCCTTACTTTGCCCCTATGTTACTTCCAAACCTTTTCTTGTAGCTTCCCCTTTCATTCTAATCTTTAAACCCAATTTACAAAGCAAAGGTAATCATTATCATCTAGAAAAAAGAAATGGTATTTCTCAAAATTTTTGGTTTCAGAAAAAAATTTAAAACTTCAGAGAGTTTTTGTTTTTGTGGGTTACTTTATCCTATCAAAAATTATTAATGAAAACATTTTTTTAAGTTGCTTTTATTTTTGTTTGGTTTTAGGGGCACATCCGGCTGTGCTCAGACTTACACTTGGCTCTGTGCTCAGGGACCTCTCCTAGTGGTTCTTGGGAAATCATATGCCAGTCACCTGTGTGCAAGGCACAAATATGCCCTTCCTCTCTCCACCAGCTAAAAACTATTTTTATTATAAATAACAATAAATCTTTGACTTAATAATAAATAATAGTTAATCTATAAGTAACATTCAAACTAAATAACTCTTTCTTGTACTTTCTTGGGAGGGGAAGGGTTTGCTTTTAGACCACTGATAAATAAAAATTACTATGTACTCCTTTGTTTTGGGGCCACATTCAGGGCTGCTTGGGGCTTTAGCCTTGGCTCTGCACTTAGGGATCACTCCCGGTGTGTTTGGAAAATCATATGGGATGCCTGGGACCAAACCCATGTTAGCCTTATGCAAGGCAAATGCCCTACCCACTGTACTATTGCTCTTGCCCCCTATGTACTTCTTTCAGCATAATTTTTAATGTTAGCAATAGTCCATTTCATTGTAGACAGCAGGGTTAGACTTCATTACTTAATAATATTCCATTGTATAAAGTTGCTATGATTTATTTGTCCATTCTACTACTGCTAGATTTTTAGGTTTGTTATAATTACTGTCTATTATAAATAAGAGAGCCATAAATAATCTACTTTTAATGTATATGCATAATACATTTTTATGGTTCCCACATAAGGTCATTTCTACATATGGGAATGCCAAAACAAATTTTCAAATCATGGGTGATTTGACAGATTAATTTGGGGTCTAGGGATGCTAATGCCATTAATTCATACCGGATCAATTTGAGCATTTCCAGATGTAAAAAAAAAATCACTTTTTAAATAACTGTTAGGAGTAACAAACTAATTAGGCAGTGCTGAATTACAAAGTCATGATATGAAGTCAACATACACAAGTCGAATGTATTTCTACAAGTGAGAAATATAAATAGTTCCTAAAAGAAGATCAAAACATTTTAATTAGAATATTAAAACATACTCATAATAAACCTAGTCAATAAAACGAAAGACTTGTACTTCAGTTTAATTTCTATAGAAGAAAAAATAAATAAGACATTCATATTCATGGAACAAAGAATTAACACTTTTAAGATGCTAATATTACCCAAAAAGACCTCCAGATGTAATGCAGTCTTCATTATGATCCCAATGGCAGTTTGGGGATGAATAAGAATAAACAAATTTTATATAGCTTTGAGGGATCACAAATAGCAAAAACAATCAGGAAAAAGAATAAAGTTGAAGTTCTCAAAATTTATGATTTCAAAACTAATTACAAAGGTAGAGCAGTCCAAGGAGAGTTGTGCTTCAATAAAGACAGGGAATAATCAAATGAAAAAAGACAGAGATCCCAGAAATAAACGTTCTTAAATATGGTTAAAAATATTTACCAACAAAGCAAAAGCTTCCATTAAGAAAAAGGATAATTTTTGTTTTTAAGCAAATAAATCCAAATTCTGCAAAATTCTATATGGGAGAATAAAAATGCCAGATGGTGTTTCTTCCTTATCTTTGTTTTAACATTTATAGCCAGATTGCCCAGGCTACAATGAGAAATACGTACTTGAGGGGAAATGTAGACACTTAGGAAATTATTAAGTTGTTCCAGAGAAAGGGAGAAGATGGAATGAACTAAAGAAGTAGCATGAGGATAGAGTAAAATTACATTTGATTATTTTGACAATGTAAACATATATACAAGAACTCAGTATATATAAATACATTTTTTGTTATAAACTTTTTCAACATTTCAGTGGCGAATATTTCTCAGGTATTAATTATGCACATCAAAATTAGTGACAAATTAAAATAGCTATCACAAGCTATGACTGATTAAAACTAAAATGTATCATAATCAAACATGGACAAATGTATTATTATCTTGATAAAGCAATAACCTTAAATAAAGACAAATGCCTTTACTGAATAATACCTCCCAAAATTCATAATTTAAAGTCCTAATAAACCCCTGATGTAATCATATTTACAGAGAAGACCTTTAAGAAGACAATTCAGAATAAACAAGTCATAATAGCAAGGCCCTAATCCAGTGATCAATGCCCTCAGAAGAGAAGAGAGGACAGGAATGTGTATACACACAGAGAAAGGCACAGAAGGCTCAATGAGAAAAAGGCTATCTGCAAGCCAAGAAGAAAGAATTCTAAAGAAATCAAACCTTGATCATGATGTCCAGCCTTCAGAAATGTGAGACAATTTCTGTGGTTTAAATTCCCCTAGCTGGAAGGAAACTGGGGACACTGGTGCTAGGGCATGTACACTGGTGGAGGGACAGGTGATGGAACACTGTATGACTGAAATTTAATCATGAACAGCCTTGCAAGGGCCTATCTCATAGTGCTTCAGTTTTATTCCTCCATCCCTCTCGGAGAGCCCAGCAAGCTACCGAGAGTATCTTGCCCACACGGCAAAGCCTGGCAAGCTACCCGTGACGTATTCGATATGCCAAACACAGTAACAAGTCTCACAATTGAGATGTTACTGGGCCCGCTCGAGCAAATCGATGAACAACGGGAGGACAATGCTATAACAGTGCTATGATAAAAAAATTAATAAATTCTCCCATCTGTGGCATTTTCCTATGGCAGGTCTAGTGAACTAACTCTAACAACAAAAAGGACGTTTCATAAATCTGAAATAATAGATTTCTACACCCCTATTCTACAAGTTTACATATTATATTCTATACATGAAACTAGTCATTATAAACAGTGAATAAATACATATTTATTTTATGTATATTTTTATAGATGGGTTGAAGCGATAGCACAGCAGGTAGGGCGTTTGCCTTGCACACCGTTGGATTCCTCTGCCCTTCACAGAGAGTCTGGCAAACTACTGAGAGTATTCCGCCTGCATGGCAGAGCCTGGCAAGCTCTGCATAGCGTATTCAATATGCTAAAAACAGTAATAACAAGTCTCACAATGGAGACGTTAGTGGTGCCCATCGAGCAAATCGATGAACAACGGGAGGACCATGCTAGAGTGCAGTGCTGTATTTTTACAGATACACATTAATTTTAAATTTTTGAAACTGAAATAGTTATTCAAATGCTAAGATATATAATTTATTTTGCTTGGGGCCACACCTGGCAGTGCTCAGGGCTTACTCCTGACTCTGCTCAAGTATCACTCCTGGTGGGGCTCTGGGGACAAGAGAGGGTGACAGGGATCAAACACAAGTCAGACGCATGCAAGGCAAGCACCCTGCTCGCTATACCATAAGATACAGAGATATAATATTAATGTAAAATTAATAAAATATGTCATGTATATAAACTATTATATAGGAAAAAAACTACTAGAAAGATACTTGGCTTGCCAACTTGGAATGGCAATAAATACCTGAATGAAGGCAATGTAACTAAACACACTAGTATAAACACTACACATTGTAATTTGAATTCACAAATTATAAAATTATACAGTTAAATGCAATAAAGCAAGTATAAAAGTAACCAATCACTCTAAAAACATACAGGTATATTCAGTAATTTTGGAAGGTAACATAGTGATTCAAAAGCACCAACAAATACTGTATTAACATTATAAAGCATTGTAAAGGTAAATGCTCAAGTATAACTTGCCCAAACTCAATGCAAAATTGTTTTAATAGTAGTTATATACAACAATTTCTTTGGAAGCCGTCTCTAATGTCTAAATAAGACATTAAAAATGCAGGTATTTATGTCTGAGTGATTCCATTTTCAAGTCTAGATTCCCCAATACTCAGATCTTTGCATTATTCAGTATGTCTACATATGAAACATTTAATTCCCCACCGTATCTTAAAAGCCTCTAGAAAGATTTACTAGAATGAAAATTGAGAAAGAGCAAATGAGTGGAGGCATGACAAAGTTCCGAACCTTCAGTTCTATAGGTTTTAGATGCTTAAATTTAATCATACCTTCTAGCATATACCTCCACAGCCACCTGCTGTTAAAATAAGTGAATTACATGTACCTGTAATTTTTTTTTATTAGTGAAAAACATGAGGTACAGTTGCAGACTCAAACTTTTGTTCTTGGGTTTCAGTTATACAATGATCAAGTCCCCATCCCTCCACCAGTGCCCATTCTCTACCACCAATTAACCCAGTAATCTCATTTTACCTGTAGCAGTTAGCACCATACATGCAGGATGTCCTTTTGACCTTGTTTTCTTCAGAACCTTGTGGATCTGAGTCAGCTGCCTCTGTAGGCGAAGTTTCAGGACTGGAAGGATGAGAGCCGGACTCTGGGTGAGATCCTGGAGTGTTGTCTTGGGCACTCAGGCTACTTTTAGAACAGTCTGCTGCCCTGTCTTCCTTATCTGGCATTTCTTCTGAGACTGTATGTTCAGAAATCTGATCAAATTTGTCTGTTGGGATTTTGTTTCTCTGTGTTTCAGTCTTGATATGATTCTCCTCTGAGTCACTCAATGTTACTGGAGAAAGTGGTTGTATTTCCTATAGTGCAAATCAGAAATAAATTCCAAAGAAATATGAAAATTTATGCATTAAGGTGTGAAGCTACAGGTTCAAACATGTATCCTTTGTTAAATTTAAGATTTCTGTCTTTAAATATTAAAAAAAACTACTGTCTCTAATAATTTTAAGCAACAGTCCATGAAAAATAACCAGAAAAATATGTGATTTATAAGATATCACAGGATATGCATCCATTTGGATACAATCTTTCAAAACAAAATGCCCTATTGGACTTATGTTTTCTTTCCAATGCGTATCTTAGCATGTGTTATCCTTACAATTCCTTATAAGTTAGTCTGATACTTTTTTCTACCCTCTGAAAATAATTATTCCTTTCTTATATATGAATGAGAAAACTGTCTCATATGGAAAGAAAAAATTATATAAAGCTGTTAGAACCAACTTATAAAATTAACATGATCTTTTTGAAGTATCCTACTAAAAGTTTCAGTTTAACAATCTAAAGGTGTTTCAAACCAAGAAATAGCTCATTAGCACTACAGAATATTTTTAATTTGTTTTTAACACCAGTACAGTTTTTCCCTATTAAAAATGACCTCTTAATTAGTTATAGTTCCTGTGGCATAGAAACACTGCTCAGATAAACAAACCTTTCTTTTCCTGGTGACCATTCAGTGGATGTGATGATACTGATCCACATGAATATTCACTCCCATTTATAACTAACATTTTGCGTATAATGGCCAGAATCAGGTCTGATATTACTTTATAACACCAGCTCAAATTTCCTAATAAAATACTAGTAGTGACATTTCTATGACTAAGTATTTTTTGGATCTTTTTCTATTTAAAAAATATTTTTAAAAGAATATTTTTCTATTTTATAAAATATACTGAAGCCAGAGAGATAGTACAGCAGAGAGAGCACTTTGCCTTGCATGCAACCGACCCAGGTTCTAGCCCTGACACCCCATATGGCCCTCTGAGTCTACCAGGATCACATGATCTCTGAGTGAAGAGCTTGGAGTACGCCCTGAGCTCTGTTAGGTGTGGCCCAAAAACCAAGCAAACAAAAAATTCAGTATCAGACTAAGTACTGTTGGGTGTGGTCCAAAAACCAAACAAACAAAAAATCCAGTATGTAACTTTAAAGTGGACAGTTGATCAGACTAAAGATCATGTCAAAGAACCTATATGTTCTCATGATTCTTGTCTAGTAAGAAATAACCTAGAGGAAAAGCAACTATATTCATGCTACATTTCCCTAAAACAGTCTTTTCTCCCAAGTCACTCAATACCATCCCGAGATCGTCTCCCAGGTCAATGCCACCCTAAGCTCATATCTCTGGTAGTGGACAAACTAACATGTGCTAGGAACTGGAACCTTCTCCACCTGCAGCCCCCACTGGCCAGCACTTAGGAATTCTCTTCACCCTGTTCAGGGAGGAAAGCTAAGCAGATGTACTACAAAACGCCTGTCCCCTTTTCCTGTTGGCATCTTGTAACACCACAAGTTTCTTTCAGAGCATCTCTCTTCTCTTGATTTTAGAAAGAGAGAATGATTCTTACCCCCCTCCCTCATCCCAAACACCCATTATCATAGCACTGCTTCCAACCGTACAATTCTCTTGTTTCAGTTCTCCTCACACAGAGGCTGGTGAACAGGACAATAAGTACTACAGGAAAGGTGTGCTTCTCACCGTTGGGTGTTCCTTTCTATCACGAGATACTTAGCTCAGAATCTTTGTTCCTTATTTGGACCTCAGCAGCAGTTTGTGGACAAGACACAGTGGAAGGGTAAATACTCACTCAACATGTGGTCAGACTTACAGGTTAAAAAAAAAATGTGGCTAGGAAATTAGAGATAGAAATTATAAGATGTAAAATATACTAATGACTCCATTTAATCTTTTAAGAAAAAAAATATCCCCACACAGGTTAATTCTCCACGTTGGAGACTGGCCCACATCTCAACTCGAGACGTATAATTTTCCCTTTACTTTATGGTTCATTTTCCACTCTGGAGATTCACTCACATTATAATCTGAGATGTGTTCTAGCAGCTTTTTCCCATTGAATAAGTCTGTATTCTCTCTTAAATAAGTATCTCTCTCTCTCTCTCTTTCTTTGCCCTCACATTCCTCTAAGTAAATTTCATTAAATATAACTATTAACAATACAAAATAAATTTAAACATTCCTATACCTGTGTATAAATCCAACTGAAAAATTTGAATGAAAATGAAAATACTGGTAAGGAAATGGGATTGCAAGATGAGGTACATATAATTTTTTTTCTATTTTATTTTGTGGTATTAGGGATTCAACCCAAGGCCTCACACATGTAAGGCAAGTGCTCTATGCTGAGCTATTTTCCTTATCCTATTTTTCTACTTAAAAAATGTAAAACAAACTAAATAAAAATATGAAATATTTAGCACCATTTAAACTCCCCCTCTTTCCATAACATGTAAAAATGAACTTTTAAAAAATCTTCACAAGGAATATGTTGAGTGTGCTGTTTTATTTTAAATGAGAAATAAATGACAAAGTCACAGCTATCAGTATCATGAATCAGGGGCTCTCAAATGTATTTCAAGAGACATAAAACTGAAATTCATAATGTTCTTTATAGAACTCCATGAAATATTGATATTCAGTAGACCTTTGGCATTCAAGAATTTAACTTTCATGGTTTCAATTATTTATAAATGATCCCCAAAATCCATTACATGCAGTAATTTGTAAGTCTGCTGAGACATAAATTTGTACTAGGTCAATTACAAAACTCATGAGCCAGAGCAAGTGAACTGCAGGTGATAAAACGGAAAAGATGGGCGGTGCTTTGTACTTCAAATCAGAAAAAAGGCAAAGAGCTCCCAACTTTAAACACATATTGCTTGCTTCTCAGATGAGATCAAAATGCAAATAATGAAATGTGGAGACTGGGGATTCATGACAGAGAGGCCAGCTCCCCTGTGCTATAAACACACATCCTGGGGATCTCGTGCTGGAGCGAAAGGAGACCCGGCTGCTTGGAAATAGTGGAAATTACTAGTAAAGCTGTTGAAATAATTTTAATACCCTTCCCAGCAAGCTCCCTCCTATCCCTCAGTCATTCAGTTTTAGTGTACTCAAAGACACAAAATTAAAAACATCCCCAATACAAGTTCCCATGGAACACCATGAGAAGAGTGACCTGCACTAACAAGCTGTCTGAACAGTTCTGCATCAGTTTCATTGGAACCTATATAACTGAATGACTATATCATTGAATGACATCTATATGACTAATTGCTGGAAAACTCTAATCTTCAGTCCCAATTATACTAATTTTAAATTTGCATATACAACTGCTAGTCAACCATTTCTTCCTCAATATCCTTTGTACTTTCAAACTCAAACTAGTTTGAAAGTACAAATTAATCCAAGATATATAAAAATTCATGAAAAGTAATGACAGCAACAACAAAAAACTTTTTTAAGTGGGCAAAAGATCTTAATAAACATCTCTCCAAAGATATGCTATGGCAATAAGAACATAAAAATTCTTACTACAGGAAAATGCAAATCAAAACAATAATGAAGTGCTTTGATGATTCCCACAAGCCTAAGAATGATCTATATATAAAACTGCCAGAGACAAGAGCTGGCATAGGTGTAAAGCCAAAAAAATAAAAAATAAAAATCTTTATACACTGTTGATGTGATATAACAAAAAAAGTAACAACAAGTCTCATGATGGAGATGTTACTGGTCCCGCTCAAGCAAACTGATGAACAACGGGAGGACTGTGACCATGATGGGTACACATAATGGTTCAAGATCCATGGAAAACAATATGGATGTCTCTCAAAATATGAAAAATAAACCTACAGAGGCTAGGGACACAAATTTAGGCATAGAGCACATGCCCAGCTTAGTCTAGGCCCTGAGTTTATCCCCACTAGTGTATCAGTATCCCCTGACCTATCTCAGCCTCTGGAGCATTGTGAAAATCCCCACTTTCGGGCTATGAAAACCCCTCTCTCGAGATGATTACACATGAAAGGATGTTCAAGGGCTCTCTGCCCACGTTCGGTGCTCTCGAGCCGCTTCCCCACCCTAGATGACCGTTGCCTTGGACGGACAAAGGAAGAACAAGGGCCAAGCTGGTTGCTGATTAGTTGCCATTTATTAAATCTCTTGTCTCTCCCAGGTCTTTCCAACACTCTCTATAACTCGCTCTACAATGCTCTCCGTGACTTCTCTTCAATCTCCCCAGTCATTCTTACTCTCTGCTCTCAACCTTCTAACTTGGTGTCTTTCGCAATCTCCTTTCCTCTTCTGTCTTTGTCTCTCTGTAACTGTCTATCTGTCTCTCCTTCCTCTCTCTACCCATGCAACAATCTTCTACCTTCTCCTACAGCCGCTCTTTTTCTTCTCTCCCTACACCTCCCCAACCACGCCTCCCCACAGGAAGTGTGATCAACATGTTTTTTCCAATCTTCCCAATCACCTGCAGCCACAAGGGCAAAACAGTCCTTAAGCTGTGTGTCTCCTCTCCTTAGACCTGCAACTTGATTAACATTTTTAATTCTACTTCCTCATATTTACCATTCTGTATGGACACAGTAATAGATACTTTTAGGCTTGCAGGGTGACTCTCCTGGGGACATCTCACCACAGACTCAGACTACAGTGCTGAAGCCAAATCAATCATTCCTAACCCCAGCAGGGTCCAAATTTAGTTATTACTTTTTGGATCATGACAGAATTTGTCCATGACCAAGCTCTTAACTTACAGTTAAGCATTATGGAACTTTGGCCAGGCCCATTTTGATGCCAGGGTAGCTATAGCTAGCTCACTGTTTTGCCCTGGGTCTATTTAGTCCCTCGTCGGGACCATGATTTGGGGGATCTAGGAAGTAAGGGCAAGAGAGGCGTAAGTCGAGAGTGCAGATGTCCAGGACATAATATTATCTGGAGTCAATCAACTCCCAAGCCACAGGCTTGTCTTTTTAACCATCTTCCTGTATCTGTGCAAAAAACAATTGCTCTGAAATTGCTCTAAATAACCATGCAAAGAACATTAAAGATAAGAGAAAGACAATATTTACAAGTCAGAGTCTTATCAGAGACAAAGTTAACATATTGGGGGACAATCAACAAACACAAGCTTCCAGTGGCCAGGGAGGAAGGGCAAACCAATATTATCCTACAGAGCATGGCAGTGGGCATTGGAGCAGGTAAAACCTGACCTTCAAAGGATTCTGAAGTGAGGCTCCACAGAAGGAAGTATCTGGGCATATCTGGGCAAAGATTGGCAAAAACGTGTCAGCACCAGGTGTTTTGCCTTGAACTTCACCCAACCTCCTAGTCACATGTGATCAAGACACATAAACTGTCACATACACTTAGCAGGTCACCCTAACCACAGCATCTAGCCTTGATTGGGATTGGATGGAGCAAAGCAGAGTACAAAAGGTGATAGGCCAATAATGCTAAACTTTACGTGATTGGACCTTCCTGTAAGCTGAGACCATCTATAAAATATGTGTATTTCGCAATAAAGTGAACAGCCATCAGCTGCTCCTGGAGGGTATTTCTCTGCACGCCCGTCATCCTTGCTTTGCCCCACATCTGCCGAGACCTGTACACAGCGTGACCAGGCACGCTGGGGAAACACTGTTTCCCAACACCTGCACTGTGGAGTGTGGTCTTGACAGAACCCAAGCATTTGGTGAGTATGGTCCCTATAAGAAATATAAATTTAATATGTGGTAGAGCAATCACTACTCCTTGCTATCTATCTAAAGAATACAAAAGCATTGATAGAAAAAAATGCATGCCTGTCAATGTTCACTGTCTGTATTTTGATAGCCAAGATATGGAAGCAACATTGGAGCCCAGCGATAGATAAATAGCTAAAGGAGATGTGGTATTTCTGTACACAATGCAATACTATCCAGCTATAAGAAAAGATGAAATCTTGACATTTGCAATAACATAGATGGGATTGGAAGAGGTCAAGTTAAGTAAATTAAGTCAGAAGGAGAAAAACAAGTATTGATTAATTTCATTCCTTTGTGAGATGTAACAAAGCAAGGGAATAGACAAAGGCAAACCAAAATTAACCCTTGTATTCTGACCATACAACTGACATTACAGAGGTGTACAAAAAAGAATGCAAGGGGTGGAGTGGGGGACCGGAGAGGGGAGAGCAGGGAGAGGGACCCAGTGGCCTGTGGTGGCAGGATACTTTGATGGTGGGTGAGGTGAGGTAGTAACAAACATTTCAAGAGATCTGAAACTGTCCTAAAACTATATAGAGTATGATAAATTAGTACTACTTCCATTTTAAAATCATCCCCAGAATCTAAGTATCTGGGACCCTCCCAAAAGATTCTGATATAAAAGAGATCAAGGTATTTAGAGTTTTTCAAAGCTCTTTAGGTAATTTTGATAGGCCAAAACCCACTCATAAAAAAATCATTTCTAATTTTTGTCTACTATAAAGTTATTGTAAAAAATAAGTTTAAACTATAATGAAAATTTAAGTGTAATAAATTTATAAAATGCAAAAAAATTATTTACTTCACTTTTTCCAATAATATAAATGTTAAATGGAGGTAGAGAGTTTTTATGGTTTAAATTATGGTTTCAGGGATGGGGAGATAGCTTAAAGAGACGGAGATTATACTTCATATGAGACATCTCCAGTTTCACATGGTCCCTTGAGTACCCAGTGGGAGCAGTGTCCAAGCACCAATGGATATGGCTCAAAATAAACATAATTATGGATTAAATATTATTATTATTATTATTATTTTGCTTTTGGGGTCACATTTGGCGATGCTCAGGGATTACTCCTGACTCTACACTCAGAAATTACTCCTGGCATTGCTCAGGGGAACCATATGGGATGCTGGGAATCGAACCCAGGTTGGCCACATGCAAGGCAAGCACCCTAACCACTGTACTGTTGCTCCAGCCCCAGAATTATGGATTAAATCTTATCACAAGGATCCAAACACTCCTATTAGAATGGGAAAAACCAGAACACCAACAACAAATACTACTGAAGATGCAGAAAATGGGAATTCTCACTCATTGTTGGTAGAAATACAAAATATCTTCCAAAGCATAACAACTTTGGAAGAGAGCTCCGATGACTTGAGCCTATAGCTACCTATGACTATGTTTTACTTTATGTGAAGAAAGTCTACAGTAGTTTCAAAGAATGATGCAAGAGGCAAACATACAGTATCAAAGATAACATCAATAAGCAAAGCTTTCCATTAAACTGGAAAAAAGTGGGAATATCACACACCAACTTTATGTTGACCATGTCACTGATATAAGTTGGTCAAGTCACTTTTCCCCCGGTACAAAATTCTAAATTAAATAACTTTCTAATGTACAAAACAAGTACTATAGTAATTTTAGTAAGTCAGACATATTGGGGATAGATTTTATCTTCATCAACTTAATAATGAAAAGTGGTTAGGGTTTTCCTTACTATACAGAGCATATAATCACTCTCTATCAATATCTTACAGTGGAAAGAAACAACAAAATAATAAACTTCCACAAAAATCACCTTGGTCGAAATGACAGGCGATTCTTCCTCATCAGCATTTCTGCATTTTTTCTTGGTGTCTTCCTCTGAGGATGTGCTTTTTGAGTTTTCTGAAGAAACTAATCGCTTTCTTCCTTGCTGTGTTTTGTTTCTTTGGGTTTTATCTTTGTAGATTGCTTTTTTCCCATTTTCCTGAATTACATCATTATCTTAAACACACACAAATAAAAAAATTATTTTCAGATGTTGATAATTTATCATTGAAAAAATGAGATTGAAAAGAAAAGTAAAACTCAGCTATAAGAAAAAATGAAATCAAGTAACTTATTGCTACTTGGATGGATCTGGAGATGGATCTGAATTTCTAAATTCAGAATATATATAAGCTTAGTGGAAGTTTATTATTGAGTGGTTAGACAGAAGGAGAAAGATAGGTGCAGAATGATCTCTCTCATATGTGGAAGATAAAGAAAAATAATAGTTGAATAAAACAAAAGCACCCCAAAGCAACAGAAACTGAGAATTGGTTGTCAGCAGGAAGCTACCACAGGACAGGAATGCAGTGGGGATAGAGAGAGAACATTGCGACAATAATAGAAGGAAGCGAACACTCTGAGGAAAGGGGTGGAGAGGGATTGTGTTAAGCACGAAACCCTAGTATTAACAGGATTTTAAACTACAGTGTCTCAAATACAATTTTTTTAAAAAAAGAAAATTGAAGTTTCATTTTTATTTGGACTAAATTAAAAACATTTGTAAAATTCCCCCAGTAAAAGAACAGAGAATCAATTCATAGTCACTGGTCTAAAATTGATGAGAATATTAAACTTTATTGTTAAACACTGGAGACTAAATATTTTAAGCTTTATGAGTTCTATAGTATCCACCAAAACTACCCAATTATGTTTTTATACTATGAAATCTGCCTAGACCATAGAAATACAGATGAATACACTGTGTTCCAAAAGAGCTTTATTAGTCCGAGCCACCCCCAACCCCACAAAAAAAGGTACTGGGGCTGGATTTTACTCCTAGGCTATAGTCTATTCACAGCTTTTCTAAAGGAAATTAAACTGGTTTGAAATAATATTCCTTTATTAAGTTTAGGAGAGAAATGCTAACAATTTTAGCATTTCTATTAGCTAAACCATAGTGTAAAATGTAAAAATCATTTTTACACTTACCATGTTACAAAATGTAAAAATCAACTGAACCCAATATAATACATATGTCAAAGAAAAATTTATGAATAAATAATAAAATTTCCCAGAATTATTAAATATTTTTGAAACTAAATTATTATTTCCTATTATTTTAGAAATTTCCACAAATAGAATTAAATAAAACGAACACAGGCTACAGTAGTTGTGAATTAGCCAAACCAAGGGAGAAAAATTAACTAATGAGTATGACTTACTAGCCGAAAAACTAAAAAATGCAAGTTGATAAGATACATCTTCTGCCCAAATGGCAATTGACTACATTCCAAGTGCTATAAGTGTATATAAAAATTCTAAAATTAAATATATATATTTTAAATATTCAATTGTTTAAAATTCTAAATTCTCTACCTACAAATATTTCTTCCAGGAAGATTACTATTGCTTAAATGCACTTAGCAAAGAATATACACGATAAATACCTCAGCGTTCTCATATCAACTTTTATGACTGTCACTGTATCACTTTCACCCTGTTGTTCATCAATTTCCTCGAGCAGGCACCAGTAACGTCCCCATTTGTCCTAGCCCTGAGATTTTAGCAAGTGCCACATGGGAGGCTCTTTCAGGATCAGGGGAATGAGATCCATCATTGTTACTGGATTTTGGCATATCGAATACACCGCGGGGAGCTTACCCGTTTGGGTAGGATACTATCAGTAGCCTGCTGGGTTCTCCAAGAGCGAGAACTAGACCATCAACTTTTATACCTGATATCAAATAAGTTTCTAAATTCAGAATATATATATAAATAATACAATAAATTAATTCTTAAAACAAATCTTGAAACAAATTTAATTCTTACAAAATAATTTTTATTTTTAATTATTAATAGGTGAATTTACTAATACAAGCTATTTCTTTAATACTCTGTGAATGATAGTTCAATTACATACATGTCATTAAAATTACATCATTCGAACTCTGTCCTACAAAGGAACCATTCCTAATAGCTAGTATCAATTTGATGTTTACCTTTCTTAACTTTTTTCTGTTTAAGCAAATTTATCTACATATTTACATTTAAAGTAAATTACTTTAAAAAGCTATGCCAATGTGTACTCACCAGCAATATCTTCTAAGACCCACTTCTGTCAACATTGGATACTACCAGTTGCTTAGATTTTGATGAGTTTTATGAGCCAAAATTGTATCTGGTCATTTCAATGTATACATTTTCCTATCTGATAATCATTACATATTAGCAATCAGTACTTGTTCTATAGAGTAGTGTACAGTGGCCACATTTCTATTGAATTTTACCTTCTGTTTAGTTATTAAGTAAACAATTATTTAAAATCTTTTATAAGTATGATAGCTAAAAAATCCAGGTATATTGTTTGCCAGTCTCCTCTTTGCCTCTTATTTTGCTTGTAATATCTTTAACCAAAATTTTTTTTAAATTTTAACCTAGACTTGGGGCCGGATTTAAGGGTGTCTTTAAAATAACGTAACTTTGCACTTACATGTACTTCCCAAGTATGTTTATAAGAATCAAAAGATTTTTCAAAAGCTTTTTCAAATTTTCAAGATCTTTTTCAAAATTTTGAACAAACTGTACACTGTATAACATTCTGTTCAAATCACTACAAATTTCTCTTAGTAGTATTATCACGCTGAAGTGCCCAAAAAGATGCTCATATTATGTACAGTACATTTCTCAAATGAAAACAAATATTATTTGTGATTTGAAGCAAAATGCATTTGGATTATTATAAGTAATGTAATAGAGTTAGAATATAAGTAGTTACAGTAAAAAAGGTATAAAAGAAAAGGTCTTCTTTGCAGGGAGGCAGTTTGAGAAAGTTCCACTTTTCTACCATCATCACACTTTTCTACCTGCAAACTGAGCAGCGACAAACATAATAAGAAATAGTACCAATGCCACGTGTTACACACATAATGAGTGGGTGGAGAATTGAAAATAGCTGCACTGGAAGGCTAGAGAGATGGTATAGCACATGGCTGATCCGGATTCAATGCCTGGCACCACACGGGGTCCCCCAAGCCCACCAGGAGCGATCCCTGAGTGCAGAGTATGGGCCAAAAACAAAAACAAATTTTTTTTTCTTTTTGAAAAAAAGAAAATGGTTGTGTTATAAAAACAAGACAACTCAAACAGGATGCAATAGGTACATAAAAATCCTCCACATTAAATCACATTTCCTTTAGCATACAATATATAAAATCTACTTTTCCCATGGGTTGGAGCAATAGCACAGAAGGTAGGGCATTTGCCTTGCACACAGTCAACCCAGGTTCCATTACTCCACCCCTTTTGAAGAGCCCGGCAAGCTACCGAGACTATTCCATGCGCATGGCAGAGCCTGGCAAGCTCCCCGTGGTGTATTTGGTACGCCAAAAACAGCAACAAGTCTCACAATAGAGACGTTACTGGTGCCCGCTCGAGCAAATCAATGAACAGCAGGAGAACAAAGTAGCACTGCACAGTGCTACAGTGCTACTTTTCCCATAAGATTATTCTGTACATACTGTAAACTATAGTTGTACTGCACTGTAGCACTGTCCTCCCATTGTTCATCAATTTGCTCGAGCGGGTCCAGTAACGTCTCCATTTTGAGACTTGTTCTTGTATTTGGTATATTGAATACGTCACGGGTAGCTTGCCAGGCTTTGCCTTTCAGGCGAGATACTCTCAGTAGCTTGCTGGACTCTCCAAGAGGGGCGGAGGAATCAAACCTGGCTCAGCTGTGCTGACTGCATGCAAGACAAATGCCCTACTGCTCTGTTATCATTCCAGCCCATAATAGTACTGAATAGTACTAAATATAATAGAACTATTTTTTTTTTTGCTTTCTGGGTCACACCCGGCAATGCACAGGGGTTATTCCTGGCTCTGCACTCAGGAATTACTCCTGGCGGCGCTCAGGGGACCATATGGGATGCTGGGAATCGAACTCGGGTCGGCCGTGTGTACAGCAAATTTCCTCATATCTTGTCTTCCTGCTGAAATACATGGGCATGGGGAAGTCCCAGGAAATGGGAAAAGACAGTAGCAGAAAGCAGAGAACTAAGCGGAGTACAGGGGCTGTCTACTACAGGGATATGGTTTATGGCCAGAATAGCCTATGAGAAAATTGCCTCAGGCCAAATTAATTGCCAAATTAATGAGACAGGAATTTATTCAATTGAACTTTAAATTTAAAAATCTCTACAACATATTATTCATAACATCCGCCATCTAAGGAAGTTGCTAAGAATTCAGCTTAATCAATGGCTGAACAAATAGCAGTACTCCTACATTATTTAAAAAAATAAAAAATAAATAAAAAGAAAAGGAAGTTACTAAGGATGGTAATAAAGGGGAACCATGTAAAGAAACTTTGGTATATCTACACAATGGAATACTATGCAGATGTTAGAAAAGATGAAGTCATGAAATTTGCATACACATGGTTCTACATGGAAAGTATCGTGCTAAGTGAAATGAGTCAGAAAGAGAGGGACAGACATAGAAAGGCTGCACTTATCTGGGGAATATGAGGTAACAGAATGGGAGAAAAACACCTAAGAATAGTTGGGATAAGTACCAGGAGGTCTGCTCCACAGCTTGGAAGCCAGCAGCACATGCTGGGGGAAAAGACAACTCAGATAGAGAAGGGGACAGCAAATAAAGGGTGTTTGGAGGATTCACTCGGGATAGGAGATGCATACTGAGAGTAGACTATGGTCCAAACATGATGGCTACTCAATACCTCCACTGCAAACCACAACATCCTAAAGGAAAGAGAGAGCAAAAGGGAATGCCCTGCCACAGAGGCAGGACAGGGTGGGGGGATGGGATCATTGGTGATAGAGAGTGGGCACTGGTAGAGGGATGGATACTGGATCATTGTATGGCTGAAACACAAGCATGAAAGGCTGTAAGTCTACAACTATACCTCATGGTGTTTCACTAATAAAAATTAAATTTTAAAAAAAGGGAACCATGACCCATATAAAAGTATAGTTAATAGAAACTAAGTCAGAGATGACTGAAAAGTTGCATATACTGACTAAGAGATGATGGAGCAACTGCTTTTCACTGAATGTTCATTTTTACTTTAGTTTCATTAACTAAACTGAATTAATCTTGAATCAGTGGACGGACATGCATGGCAGACGGCACAAACCACTTGCTATCTATCATGACCTTGAGCTGTGTTGAAACAGAGGTCACATCTTGTACCTCACAATACATGCCTCAATTTTTTTTAATTCAAATAATTTAGTGAATTCTCACTGAGCTGTTTTTTAAATAAATATAATATAAACTGGTCTGTTTGCAAATTGATATTTATATAGTAACTTTAGCACAAAAGAAAAAATGGCAGATATCAATCAAGAATTGACAGGAGCGGTGTTTGATAAATGGCATATAAAAAAGCTTATATTTTAAAGACTATATGTAATCATCTAAAAAAGTGCTAGCCTAAGGCATACACTTATACTGCCATTCTACCTCTATTTAATTCTAAAAGTTCCTGAATTCTACTTAATATTTTCTTTAGACCTACCTCCACTGACATCAGGTGCTGAAAGGTTTTGCTCACTCAGACTTCCCGTTAACATCCACGCTGGAAGAATTCTTTTCCTCTGGATGGGGTTTGACTTTTGCTCACTAAAGTTTCTACATTCACCTAAGGAAGACTGAAAAAATGCACCTCTATATTAACAACCAAGAATAACCATGAAACCTTAATGAAAAATTTTAATAGGAAACTATCTTGAAAGCTATCTGCAACTGTGGATTGAGTTAGTCAAATTTCTCAAAGGAGGGGCTGAAGCGATAGCACAGCAGGTAGGGCATTTGCCTTGCACACTACCAACCCAGGTTCGATTCCCAGCATCCCATATGGTCCCCTGAGCACTGCCAGGAGTATTTACTGAGTGCAGAGCTAGAGGAACCCAGGCATAGCCGGGTGTGACCCAAAAAGGAAAAACAAAAAAATTTCTCAAAGAAATTCATTATCTTTATTAGTGGGGGGAATGAATTCATGTGATATTCCCTCCTTAGCTTAACAGTGAATAGCAACTGTCATGAGATGTATGGTTTTAGTTAGATTTCCTCTCCTTCAAATGAGAAAAATATTATACATAGATGAAACCTTAAATTTCTCACCGTACTGTTTGCAGTGGTAGTCCGGGTCTTTGCTATTTCTAAGTTTCTTTCCTGCTGTAGGGTACCCGCTGCGTCATTAGGCAAATTCATCAAAGACGATTCTGGTGTTTCATTCAATATATCATCTTCATCAAGCATCTGACTGTTTCTATAAAGCAAAATTTTATTTATTAATCATCTGATATAAAGACTTGTATTGCCAAACATACTCTACATATGTCACTCAAGTACCTCACTTGGGGCTGGAGTCATAGTATAGCAAGTAGGGCATTTGCCTTGCACGCAGCTGACCTGGGTTCGATTCCTGGCATCCCATATGGTCCCTTGAGCACCGCCAGGAGTAATTCCTAAGTATAGAGCCAGGAGTAACCCCTGAGCATCGCTGGATATGGCCCCAAAATAAATTAATATTTAAGTGCCTCACTAATAATTTGTGCCTCCTTTCTCAGACAAATGTAAGCAGATTGGGGCTGGAGCAATAGCACAGCGGGTAGGGCGTCTGCCTTGCACGCAGCCAACATGGCCGACACAGGTTCGATTCCCAGCATCCCATATGGTCCCCCGAGCACCACCAGGAGCAATTCCTGAGTGCATGAGCCAGGAGTAACCCCTGAGCATCGCCGGGTGTGACCCAAAAAGCAAAAAAATAAATAAATAAATAAAACAAATGTAAGCAGATTATAATATCCAAGTACACAAATAGAGTATATAGAGAATATGCTCTTTACCTTCAGCTCACTGTATCACCATAATTGCACTAATTTTTTTCAAAACATAGACCTAGAAACCTGGGCTATTTATGAGAGGCAGCAGCCAAGTCTCCCAAGGCTCAGGAGCTACTGACTTAGTGAATATTTTCCAGAGTCCATAAAAGTTAAGTTCATCACCCAGCATTCAAAGAGAAAATGCAAGAACATTAGCTAAGGTAATCAGGCTCTTGAAGAAAAGGTCAACTTCACACACTGCTACCACTAGAACCCCAGCCAGTATAGAACCTCGTGAGAAATATCCCCAAGCCTTCTGACTGGAAGGCAAATGTCCTGACACTTGTGCATTCGTAGTCATATGTGGTGCATACCAACAGAGACAAGTGCCACTACTGCCAGAGGCAGTAAGATCACACAAAATTGATGGGATCATTTCTCCTTAGGTATGCATTGAGATGATTTAACACATTAACCTTTCTGAAAATAGAGGTGGAAAAGCAACTCAAAATAATAATGAACTACTGGTATGTATGCTAACCTTCTCTCCTTTCATACAACACAGAGTGATAGCACAGCAGATAGGGCGTTTGCCTTGAACATGGCCGACCCAGATTCAATTCCTCTGTCCCTCTTGGAGAGCCCAGCAAGCTACCGAAAGTATCCCGCCCGCACAGCAGAGCCTGGCAAGCTCCCCGTGGCATATTCGATATACCAAAAACAGTCACAAAAAGTCACAATGGAGACGTTACTAGTGCCCTCTCGAGAAAATAGATGAACAACGGGAGGGCAGTGCTACAGTGCAGACAGTTATATATGCTAGCATGGATAAACCTCAAAGACATTTTGCTGAAATAAGTCAAAAGACGGTGTATCACATGGTTGCATTTATATGGTATTCTGAAGAGTCTACAGAGTTGGAGGGGCTGAAATCAGATCAGTGGTGGTCAGAGGCGGGAGTGGCATGAGAGGACTGGCAACAGACAGGCATGAGAGAAGCCTCAATCTCACTGTGGTGGCACTGACAGCTGTCAAAGTACACTGAATGGTACATTTAAAAGGGGGTGAACTGCTACTCAGGGAAAGGTCATTTCAAAGATGAAAGATTGCAGATGTAAGGGGCAACAGCAATAGTACAGAGGATGCTTGCCTTGCATGCAGGCAATCTGGGATCAATCCCCGGCATCCCATAAGGTCCCTCATGCACCATCAGGAGTGATTCCTGACTGCAGAGCCAGGAGTAACCCCTGAGGACCACTGGATGTGGCCCAAAACACAGACACACACACAAAAAAAAACCAAAAACAAAACAAAACAAAAAAATTTCAAACATAAGATGCTCTTTAGAAAAGAATAATTGATGTCTTATTTTATTTGCTTATTTCAGTATTTTCTATGCAAAAATAATCTTCCAAAATAGGCTTACATTCCAGTGAAAAGAATCAATCCAAGAACATGGCTCAGGGAGATAGTAGAGGATCAGAGTTTTTGTCTTGCATGTGCCCAACCCTGGTTCAAGCTCTGGTAACATATGTCCCCCTGAGCATCACTGGATGGAGCTCTGAGGAGCCCCATCTGAGGAGCACCAGAAGTGGCCCTGGTGGCTCTGGTGGTCCCTGACACTGTAGGCCCCAAGAAACTTCACATCCTCAGACTCTCGCTCTGTACCCTCAGTCTGGTTAGCTGATTATTACCAGAAGTTGTGCCTAGACCACTGAACACTGCTTGGGAGGACTCCCACCATAAAAATGAATAACTTGCATAGACCAACTACTGTACCATTAGACATATTTTGTTCACTTAATGTTAAAGCACAACTAGCATGTGTCAGGTACTGAAACTATATGATTGACCTAGAACAAAACTGTATTCCCACTACAAAAATAAGATCCATTTTATTTCTAACATATAGGTGTGCTCAGTTCGAGACCTTTTGCTCTCAAGTTTTCTTAATATTTAATTTGAAAAACAGTAAGAAACTTTCAAGAGGCAGGCAATGACTCATTATAATTTGTAGCATTAGAAATCAAGCAACATCATCCATTTCATTTCTAGTTTATGTTCTATCTTGGTATAAATTCAAGACCAATATATACCTATATCTATACCCCAAGGGGAATTTTTATTAATATTTACCAAGAACAAACCTACACAAAAAAATTCAATCCCAGAATAAAATTCTATTAGCATTCCATTCCATTAATGTCAAAGTACAAAATATATCTTTATTTAAATATAAATGCCATGACATAGAGCTTTCATTATTTTATCTTCAAATATTTCATGAGCAATTTCTTCTCACAGGATTTATGTGCATTGTTATCAGAATTGCTTAAAAAAATAAAAGCTTCAAAATTTATCTAAATATAACACAATAATGGTAATCAAGTTATCCTGTTTTATGATAGTTTTATTGAACTATAGCACAGAATGAAATTCATCCTGTAAAACACAGTATTTTTAAATGTACTTTTACGTGGTTGTAAAACCACCACCAATGTCAAATTTAGGGGTGGGGAACCTTTTCTCTGCCAAGGGTCATTTGGATATGAACAGCATCACTCAAAGGTCTATAACACAGGCAGATGGGTTGCAGGCTGTTGAATACATGACTATCATCATGTACCAGGGTCAGTCAGACCATATGTCTTCATGGACCTGATACAGCACATGGGTGTCCTAGCCTAACATCACCTCAGAATAAAATTCTGTTGTAATAGTTGTGAATTCCTATTCCCAATTCTTCCAGCTCCTTGTAATAACTAATCTATTTTCTGTCCCTGTGGATTTCTATTTTATGGGCACTTCATACAGAAGAAACAGTATGAGAATTCGTGTGGACAGATTTTTTTCTTTTTTCTTTTTCTAAAAATAAGGAGTATCCCCCATCAAGGCTTGACAGTTTGGTGCTCAGGGATACCATGTCTAAACTTATTTAGATCATGTTGCACTGTTTAGATCATGTTGTGCTGGGTTTGAACACACCTGCTAAACAACTGTTCTACCATTTGAGGCAGCTCCTCACAGCTCCTGGGCCCCTGGACAGTGGGTTTTAATACTTGGGAGTATATATCTAGGAATGGAAGCACTTGGCCATGTAATGCCATGTGTATAACATTCTGAAGAACTATCAGAATATATTGCAAAGGGGCTGCAACATCTAAACTCTACCAGCAACATCAAATGATCCCAATTTCTCTACATCTTTACAGCATTTGTGATCTTTTACTATTGTCTTCCTAATGAATGAGAAGTGTTAAAATATCATGCTGAGCACTTTTTCATGTGTTTAATGATATTTGGATATAAACGCTGAAGAAACATGTACTTAAATGTTATATGTATTTCTAAATTGAATGACTATCTATTGTGGAGTTGTAATAGCTCTTTTTATAATCTGGATATGATTATCAACTATGATTTGCAAATGTTTTCTCTGATTCTGTAGGCTGGCTTCTTAGATTTATCTCCTTTCGGTTGTCTTCTGTTCTTGATATCACACCTAAAAATCTACTTTCTGTTGGCTTGTGTTACTTTTGGTGGCTTGTGTTTTTGATGTCATATCTAAGAAAGTATTGCCTAATCCATGGTCAAACAGATTATACCTGTATTTTTCTCTAAAGCATCACCTACCTTTAGCTTTAGTAAGGTCTCTGTTGCATTTTAAATTAATTTTCTACATGGTGTGAGAGAGGAATTTAACTTATTGTTCTGTGTGTGAATATCAAGAGGTCACAGCACCATCTGCTGCAGATACTATTTTTTCCCCATTTAAATATCTTGTTAAAAATAGGGGCTGGAGAGACAGCACAGCGGTAAGGCATTTGCCTTGCACGCAGTCGACCGGGGTTCGATTCCCAGCATCCCAGATGATCCCCTGAGCACCGCCAGGAGTAACTCCTGAGTGCAAATGCAGGAGTAACCCCTGTGCATCGCCGGGTGTGACGCAAAAAATAAATAAATAAATAAATTACTAAAAATAAAAAATAAATAAATAAACTAGATGTAATATAAGGGATTATTTCTGAACCTTCAATTCTATTACACTGATTCAGTACCTCAACTGTACCAAGTACTAAAGTTTGAGAACAGAATTTAAAACTATAAAGAACAAATTCTCCAATTAATATACTCCATGAACTCTTTAACCTTCAAATAAATTCCAAATATGTATTTGTATTTTAATATAAATTGTTACAAATGTGAATCATCTATGCATTAAAACAATTATAATTACAAATAAAAAATAATATAATTTATATTGTTTATATGTGTTTATTGTTATATGATGAAATTTTCATCATTTAATAGTCTTATTCAAAAATAGTAAAATAATTGGCTTATGTGGGATTTGAGTATTAAGAATGTTGACAAATTTTTAAAGTAATTTTGATAAAAAGAAAATTTATTTTATCTTCCTCATGAGCGTTTTAAGGAAAATGAAGTCCCTAGAAACATAATTCTGTACTTCCTCATTGGAATGAAATTCAGATACAAAAAAGACCCAAAATATTAAGCAACATTTCATTCACATCTATAAAAAAAACCCTTGCTAAGTAGCCACTATATAGAAAGAAACTGTCACTGTCACTGTCCTCCCCTTGTTCATCAATTTGCTCGAGCAGGTACCAGTAATGTCTCACAACAAATTGTGAGACTTGCTGTCACTGTTTTTGGCATATCGAATATGTCACGGGTAGCTTGCAAGGCTTTGCTGTGTGGGTGAGATACTCTTGGTAGCTTGCTGAGCTCTCCAAGAGGGGCGGAGGAATCGAACTCAGGTCAGCAGCGTGTAAGGCAAACGCCTTACTCACTGTGCTATCACTCCAGCCCCATAGAAAGAAACAAAATACAAAAATTAATGTTGGTGGTTCTGAATGACAAATGCTATAATTAAAATATCAACTTAGATGATTTTTAAAAAATTAGTTTGCCCAGACTTCTCAAAACAGTAGGGGTTTTGACACTTTCAGCTTTAACTGAGTATATGCACAAATGAATAAAAAATGAACAAACTAGAGCCAACATGTATAAAACCCAATTTCCACTAATTGTGAATAGAACTTAATAGAAGAATGTAAATACTATAAGAAAAGCTATGATGAGAATAAAGCCTAAAGAAATGACAGCTTCTGTTATTGTTGTTTCGTTGTTGTTGTTTTTTTTTAAATTCTTAACTAGTTGGAAGAGAAAAATCCTAATGACATCAGAATCCTAATGTTAACCTGCCACAAAGCAGACAGGATTTCTTCTCTATTTTTTCAAATTTAAAATAGTCCCTTATAGGGAAATGTATAAAGAATATACAAATAATTATGAATATGCTTTTATATTAACCACCTTCACACAGAAGCACTTGTCATATTTGTTCCAGATTAATTAAAAATATTTTTAGAGCCTCTCTGTAACATGTCTCACGATTGTTCCCTTCCTTGCATAACTTCTTCAAAGGAAAATAGAAGCCTGACTTTGTTATTTATTATTCATGTGCAAGTATTTGTACTTTGATGACAGTACAAATGTATCCATAATTTGGGCATGTAAACATAGTACGCACATAAACAAAATTGGCGATAGCACAGCGGGTAGGGCATTCGCCTTACAAGCGGCCAACATGGCCGACCCGAGTTCGATTCCTCCGCCCCTCTCGGAGAGCCCGGCAAGCTACCGAGAGTATTCGATATGCCAGACACAGTAACAACAAAGTCTCCAATGGAGACGTTACTGGGCCCGCTCGAGCAAATCATAATATAATTATACACAAAGTTAGGCAACTTCATGTATAATTATACTATGAGTAATCCATAATATGATAATCAATAATCCATAACATATATACTTTACCTCTTTCTTTATAATGTTTTTCTCGATAATATGGTGAAATATTCATCCATCCATGCTTTCATCTGCAGTTCTAATTCATTCACTTTCACTACATTATAGAACTGTACTGAATTTATTTAGCCATTTTCCACATGTGTACATTATTAGAATGATTGCTATAAAGATGTTTTCTTACAGACCATGGTGTAGACAGCAAGAGCTCTGGAACCAATTAGGTTGGGTTTAATTTGACCTCTGCCACATATCTGCTGTGTGACTGTGGGCAAGTTTAAGCCTTCTTTCTCTGTTTCTTAATCAGTAACATACAGATATTAACTATTCCTCATAAAGATTGCTACAAAGATTTAAAATGTATATACATCTTTTATCACAGTACAAGCATAATTTTTAGGAACTGTGAAAGAGTTTAAAATATATGAAAAATCTCAATGGTATCAATAAATGTCTAAAATATAGCTCAGGGGCCGGAGCGATAACACAGCAGGTAGGGCGTTTGCCTTGCATGTAGCCAACCCAGGTTCAATCCCCAGCATCCCATATGGTCCACCAAGCACCACCAGGAGTAATTCCTGAGTGCAAAGCCAGGAGTAACCCCTGGGCATTGCTGGGTGTGACCCAAAAAAGAAAAAAAAATTAAATAAATTGGCTTCTTAAATAAATAAATAAATAAATAAATAAAATATAGCTCAGTGCTTCCAGCCATAGTCCATCTCCCATCAAGATTAGTCCCTGCCTCATTGCATGGCTTCTATTCCAATAACTAGAGTCAATTAACCATTATCTGAGTAGAAAAGTACCATCCCTGTCAAGAGTAAAAAAACATTTCACTAAGAAACTACAGAACCTGGTTAATTCTGACAAAAATCAGAACAGTATCCCCAAATAAATCTTGAATGTAATATCCCAGAAGATGTAGAAAATAAGGCTGGATAAAGAATACTCTCCTACAACCTAAAATTTAAGGTTCATGGCAAGGACATCTGAAGCGAGTCCCAGTATATACCTAGGATGACTTAATTGTGCATTAAAATATATATATACGGCTTTCAGTAAATATGAATACAGCTTATAGTAAATTTTATAGAAACAGACTACCGTATAGAGTTTTAAAAGTGGACAAAAAAGTTCAATGAAGTAGGCATGCCAAAATAAATTTACAAGCTACAAAGTTTCATCACAGGAAACAAAATTATCATCGAAAAGAAACCTAGCAAATGGGAAAAGATATTTGCATATCATATATCTAAAGGAGATTAATTAATATCCAAAATATATTTAAAAAGTTACAAAACTGAACAACAATAAAACAAATAACCCAATGAAAATATGCAGATCTGAATAGACACCCAAAGAAGGCATTTAGGCACATGAAAATGTTCATTATCAAGCAATAACCTTATTTGTACGTGTACAATGCACATGGATATTGTGGACATGTACAATGCTAGACATGTACAATGTCTTCCTGATTTTTGTAAGCCATATGTAATTATCTGTGTGTTTTAAAAACTGCAAAAATATAAATTTAAAAATTTAATTATCACCAAAATAAAGTTAATATTTCTTGTTTCAGCAGCTGAAGCATTTGTGGCGGGCTGAAGACTTATATTACAAATACCTTTACTTAATCTCATTTCATCAGATAATCTTACCTTAATGTACATTCCATTTCTGTTTCAGAGTGTGTAGAGCAAACACAAAATGCATATTTGTCAAGTAGTAAAGAAAAACTATCTCCAGGATTCAACCAGCGCCATACATTTGTCCTCAATGGTAAGAACTGGCTCTTTTCTGAAGACTGATAGAAACATGGATTTGTGTGTATCTAACAAATAAAAAAAATACAGTGATTGTTGCATCTCCAAATTATGATAAAGTATAAATATGAACTAACTAAAAAGTTATTATCAAAATACTTTAAGTAAAACTTAAACTTAAAACTAATAAATATGGGACTAATAATTACCATAATCATCATCTAACACTTTTAAAAGCTTTATCTCTTGGGAATGGAGTGATAATACAGCGGGTAAGGCATTCTCCATACACATGGCCAACTCAGGTTCAAACCCCAGTGACCTATAAGGTCCCCTAGCCCACCAAGAGTAATTAATGAACATAGAGCAGGTTGTGGCCCAATACCTCGCCCCTAACCAAAAGAAAAAAAAGCTTCATCTCCTTTTCTTTTCACACTTTGTTTTGTTAAAACAATTAAACATGATAGGGAGGGGCATGAAAAAAATTGAGCCAATTTTCATATCTGAAAAACACAAACTCCATAGAAAGAGAAGTAATGTTAAACAAGGAGTAATAAAAAATAAAATAAAATAAAATAAAATAAAATTTTTAAAAAGCTGCCTGGAAAAACAGTTATTGCTACCTACAGACCCCCAATTTTTTTCTTAAAGTCACTACTTTGAATTTTTGAATAAGTACAATCTATCTAGTTCTGGCAATTAAATTTTTTTCATGAGGATCTGGCCTTAAGTCCTTTCTGGGATTGCCTCAATTCAAAACAATTTCTATTTCCTTTAAACCTTCACTAAAATAAAGTAGTAAAATTATATTTGGAGATTAGAAGTAAAAATTAAAAACAGAGGTTAAGCTAGCTCTTCAAGTCCAGGCTCTCCCGTGCACGCTTGTTTCTATATTTCTTTGCTTACTCCCACTCCAGAGAAGCCTGTCTTCTCTCCTGAACACATTTCCCCTCTGTCTATCTCTCACATCTTTCTAATTAAGCTTCAGTAAAAACTTTCTTGCTTCATCAAAAAATAAATAAACAGAGGTTATACAAATTTTATAGGTAATTATATTACTAAATAGAAAAATTTTACAACCTATATATAATTATGCAGCACAACCATATTTATGTAGCACCATACTCCTAAAAATAAGAGTTGTGAAGGTTTGATTGATTCCTAAGACAAATGATAAGTTGAACTTAATGTTGAGAAATAATTTATTATACTATCTGTCACTTCTATATTACCTCTCAAAGTGCCTCTCTGGGCTACAGACAGAGCAAATTTCAAATGTAATTTCAAATGTAATATGGCTAAGAAACCACTTGCTTCTGAGCTGTGCATATTTCTGAGAAGGGTGTAAAATAAGCAAAATGTGCCTAAAAACGACAACATTACCCAGAGTCTAAGGATGCTGGGTAGACAACTCTGTGTGTGTGTGTGTCTGTGTGTATATGTGTGTGTGTGTGGCTTTTTTGTTCTTTTAGTTTTGGTGTCACACCAAGGAGAAGTTCAGAGGTTACTCCTGACAGTGCTCATTCCACAAGGGATGCCAGAGATTGAATCCAGGTCAGGGGCATTCAAGGCAAGTGCCTTACAGACTGCACTCTCTCCAACCCCAAGTATAGCTTGTTTAAAATGCACTTAAGAGTCGAGGATGTGGTTCAAGTGGCAGAGCATAGACCATGCATGTGTGAGGGCTCTGGGCTCAACCTATGGCATAAGCAAGCCTCTGAGGACTGCTGGTATTGACCTTCAAGCATCACTGGGTAAGGTCCCCACAACAAATTAAAATAAAATATTTAGTTATAATATACAGTGGTAGGGCGTTTGCCTTGCGCACGGCTGGCCCGGCGGAGCCAGGTTCAATTCCTCCGCCACTCTTGGAGAGTACAGCAAGCTACTGAGAGTATCTTGCCCACATGGCAAAGCCTGGCAAGCTCCCCGTGAGGTATTTGATATGCCAAACACAGTAACAAGTCTCACAATGGACACGTTACTAGGCCCGCGTGAGCAAATCGATGAACAACGGGAAGATAGTGCTACAAGACAGTGCTGCTGCAGTTTTAAAGTAAAGGTAAAGGTAAAGGCCCTCCCGTTGATCGTCAATTTACTCGAGCGGGCCCAGTAACGTCTCCATTGGAGACTTTGTTGTTACTGTGTTTGGCATATCAATACATCATGGGTAGCATACATCACGGGTAGCTTTCCAGGCTCTGCCATGTGGGCGAGATACTCTCGGTAGCTTGCCAGGCTCTCCGAGAGGGGCGGAGGAATCGAACTCGGGTCGGCCATGTTGGCCGCTTGTAAGGCGAACGCCCTACCGTAGAATACTCAATAAAACTTATAGTTTTTTAAATGGTGGGTAAGTGGTTTACAAGAGTCTCCTGCTTCACACTTGCTGTGGGTCTTCACCAGTCACCCTTCACCACTATCTAAGTCTTTTTGCCCTCCTACTTTGCTGCCATAATTGGCCATCAGGTTGTTTCCATTGGAGCCTGTCTTGAAAATATAATCAATAATCATATGAACTCAATGCCTCCCAAAATCAGACTCCAAGGGATTTAAAGATTTTTCTGAATATTCAAACTCTTACCAATACCAAGAAAAGACGGATGGCATTCTAATATCTTCAATTAAATTATTTTAACTATGTTTCTAAAAATAGGCAAGGGCAGGAAAAATATTGACAAACTCAACCCCATATGAATGAAAAAAAAAAAGCTATTTCTACTAATGGCATATTGTCTGCCTTTTAACATATCCAAAAGATTCTAAGTGCAAACTTAAATGGATTATATCAATAATTTCAGAAATAGTGTGAGAATTGTAACCAAAAATAAAAGACACATCTTATTTTCAGGTTTTTTTTTAATTTTGTAAAACATTCTTTTTGGGGGGGGGAGGGGAGCCACAGTCAATAGTGCCTATTCCTGGCTCTGAGTTTAGGAGTAAACCCTGGTAGAGACCAAGAGACCATTTGTGGTGCCAGAGATTAGAACCTGGGTTGACCATAAGTAAGGCAAACACTTTACTTCCTGAACTATTCTACAGAAACTATATTTTAAAATAATAAATAAAATAAGCCATGGAAGAACAGTTGTAATATCTCATAGATTTTTATAAAGACTGTGAGTTCATATTCCATGGCAAAGAAATCACATCTCAGAAATGAATTGTACAAAGGGAAAACCACAACCATCCAAAAGTGTATATTTTGATGAGCAATATCAAATGGCAAAAAAAAAACCGCTTATATAGTTATAGAACTCTTTATTTATAGAAAAAACAAAAACAAGAGTCATAAGACTTCAAAAATTAAATAAAAGCATAGATAACTATGAATTTACCTTGAAGACAAAACCAACCACCAATCATTTAAAAAGAACTTGTGAAGTTTCTATTTATAATGCATTTTATCCTGATCTCAGACTGCATATTAAATGACAAACAAAAAAAAGCCAGCATTATCTATTATTAGGATCTATTATTTCTTCATGTTCTATTTCCAGGAAATGCTGAAAGCTGGAGCCTTATAAAGGAAATATTAGAGAGGAAAAAGAAATTCACCCAAATTGAAGGTACAAATTAGTAATTGCCCTAATTTTATTCATTTATTATTGTCCTGGCTACTTTTTTGCTTGCTATTATGTTGGATTTCAAATTTGAAAGAAAACAGGAAACTATTAAAACATTAAACATAATTTGGGAATATATAGCAGTGACTATCATAGCAGAATATTTGACTATTAATTTGTATAATTTTACAATTTTTAAAGTAAAATTTCTCCCTTAACATTTTATCACATTCATGTAAACATACTTATGCATGAACAAGTTATATATATGTATATATGTTTTCACAAATAAATTTCTGATTGAATAAAGAAGACAGAAGACATTTAGCATGCATTAAGATAAAGTGGATGAATTAGAAATCCCTTGTCCCCATTCTCATTATTCTAAAACCTACCATATACCAGTTAAAGTGACTTTTAGAATTTCTAAAAATTTCCCTAAATTATAACCTGCAGGTGCAGTATCTGAATAAACCAATGAACCTGTTTTAAAGGAATAAACATTTTATAAAAACTATATTAACTATACCAATATAAGTTAAGTATTACATATAATATTGACATTAATAAAGCATTAGGTAGAACAAAAGACCTGTGTATATGTATATGTATGTGTATACACATATTCACATAATACTTATGTGTATGCAGGTAGATACATATACACATACATATATACTACCAAGTCCAAGAAGCAGCTTTCCTTCAACTGACATAATATAATCATTCTTGTAATAGAATTTGAACCCATCAATTTTCTAAAACAAATCAAAGGCTAGTACTAGAGTAGTACATTTTTTTCAGAAAAAATAAACTTTTTTTTTTTTGGAAAAAATAAACTTTAAAAAAAAATTTAAAAGTTTAGTAATATGACATCATAGAAGTAACTTCATTACACTGTGCTATTCTTGCTACTATTTTCTCCATGCTTTTAAAGACATAATGCATCCAAACTATTCGTTAGACTCACTACCCAATTATTATCATTATTTTTTATATTCCCTATTAGTTTCTATCTCACTGATATCAAGGCAGCAAAAAATCATAATATTTGCATTTAAGAGTTATACAATCTTACAAAAAATTATGTACTATGTGCTTCTCATTCTATGGACATGAATTAAAAGAGTGACAAATATGAATGACACAGAAATTTTTAAAAGATGGGTTTTTCACTTGGAGAGACAACTGCATTAATTGCCATAGTTCTTTTTTTAAAAGAGTAAATATAAACTAATGATATGCTCTAACAGAAAAAAAAACAGAATAGGAATTTTAAAAGATCCATATAGCTTTATTCATATGTGCTTCAGTAACAACAAAAAATCAATTTTAGGCCATTAGACCATGGGAAATTAATTCTGTAAAAGTTCACGATAATCCCATTCCTAGAAATGCCACTTACAGTTCTCATTGCTACATTTATTCATGCATTTAACAAATATTAAAATGGTGCAGTAAGTCTCAGCTAAGAATAATGAGGCAACTGGGAATAATTCGGAGGAAGCAGCTGATAGTAAATAAATTGGGTCTATTTTAAGGGCTTTATTCAAGAAGCCAGGGATAGTACTAAGTATGTGTGTGTGTGTTGGGGCGGGGGGTTCAGGGGGAGAGGAGGAAGGAGCATGCATTCAAGGTTGAGATGGAGTAAATATAGATTTATTTAAATATTTCCCCAATATTAGAATTAAGAAGGCAATTTTCAAATTTGGGGACTGTTCAACACAGAATAACAGCACTATGTACACAAAAAGAAAAATACTAGTGTTATAATAGGCAATAGCATGTATAGCATAAAAATACATACTTGCTTTTTAACGCAATAATTCATTTCATTCCATAACAATAGTTTTACAACTACAGTATCCAGACCAGAATAAATGGACCCTCATACACAAATTTTATTCTTTGATATGAGATTCTTGAAATGAAATAATCACATAATATTTTCAGAAGTTGATGTTCCTAAAAAACATCAGTACTTAAATGATAAGGCAAGCAATTAAAGTTCTTGCTGTCAACAGGAACTTGCAAATTAAAATAACCTCTAAAACCCTAATGCTGAACAAGGTGCACATTTTTTAAATATTCATTGCCACAGAGGTATAAAATCTCTTAAAATACAACCCTGTGACATTTATGTGACTTGGGTTGACTACCCATCTCCTCCAAGAGCAAGCATTACTTCGTTATGGACATTCTTATAAGATCATATTTGTAATATCAAGCTATGAATATAATATAAACATGTACTCATAGTCATCTTCCATTAAAATTCTAGCTACATAGCTGAATCACTACCTTATGTGAAATAGGTATTTAAATAATCTATCTCCCAATCATCTTCTGTCAATAAGAAGGATATATTTTGACATTTATCCCTTATTTCAAAAACTTTCAAAAAATAAACTCTAAGCAGAAGCTAGAAAAGGATGAGGTACAACACTGTAAAATAAATCATGAACATCAAATTTACCGGTTTGATTCTGAGCTGGCCACCGACCACCTCAAGAATGGCATGTCTTCTGGACACTCGCTTGTCTGTTATCTACGAGAGGGGGGAAAAGAGTACTTCAAACACAGCCAACTCCTTAAAATAATCAAAACAACATAGCTACAATCTATAGCAATGTTTCTGAGATTACCAGGTGAGATACAAACTGAATGGTTCACTCAAAAACTGTACACTATAATGACTGTCCTTATTTCAATGTGGACATTGGATGAAACAACTTGAAAATTTAGGGATCTGCCCAGAGTCAGAGAACTAATGACATAGCAGAGTTTGCTCAAGATTGGAACCTAACAGATTCCAAGACCTTATATGAGAGTTTAGTGGGGATTCTTACTAACAAAACTCACAAAATGAGGATGAAATCTATATAAGTATATATAATCTCTGTATTTACTAAAAAAAAATTTCAAAATGCAAAAAATATATAGTAGAATGGCAAGAAGTTTTAATAAGAAATAATCTAGTAAACATAAAATGTGTAACTACAGGCTTTAGAGTCATATAGAGGTAGGTCAGGCACCTACATTAGCACTCTCAGGCCATGAGGGGATTAAGAAAACAGGAAGAAAGAATGGAAAAATATGAGAGGAAATATTGCTAATGAAGAAGAAATGGTTATTTATATATTATACCAACACACTTGCTTCCTGTTTTAGCAATTGTATTTATGCTCACACTCACTTCTGCATACAAGTGTTTAAAAATAGTTTACAATTTAAATGCTGAAACTGCCAATCAGGCCTTCCCTGTGAATACTGAGATATCTTTATTAACTTTAGTAATGTCAACTACCAAAACAATAGACAACAGACATAAAACCATGACACATGACTGTGGGTCCTGAACAAATCTAGCTTGAATTTCTTTTTTTTTTTTTCTTTTTGGGTCACACCCAGCATTGCACAGGAGTGACTCCTGGCTCTACACTCAGGAATTACTCCTGGCGGTGCTCAAGGGAGTATATGGAATGCTGGGAATCGAACCTGGGTTGGCCCCGTGCAAGGCAAACACCCTATCCACTGTGATATTGCTCCAGGCCCGAATTTCTTTCTTTTAAAACTGTAATTTGCAGGCAAAAATAATCTACCTTATCTCAGTTTTTCTTTACTGACAGTAACAAGATAAAGATACTTATACATCTCAACATAGTACTAAAAAAAAAAGTTGTTTTAAAGAATCTTTTGGAATCTAACATCATTCAGCATCTCCCTATAACTATACTTACACTATACTTTTAAGTAATGAGTAGACTACAAAATAATAATTCATGTTTCCACAAAGGAAATCTTGAAGGCTCAACCAATTATCACTGACATTTTATTTAAGGATAGAACTGGGGAGAATGGCAAGAGAGTTAGGGAAAAGGATGGAAGGTGAGTGGGGCTTAGTTCATGACTTGCTTTGTTTGATATCTGACCACAACTTCTTATGCAGAGTAAATACTCATTTAACATGAACATGATAAATGTAAAAGCAATTAATTATCTAGACCAAAGCTCAGTATTATAATTATCAGGTATTATCTTTCTTGAGTTTTGAAGGGGGTCTCTCTAGCATCGCTGGAGGTCACCGGAACTCTACCTCATGCTGCCATGGATATGAACCTGGGTACTTATGCATGTCAGGCATGCATTCTAGTCTTTGAATTATTTCCCCAACTCTTTGAATTAAGCATTAAACAACTAAAATGACAGCTAATAACCAGCAGGACCAAACTCTGAATCCCAAAATATAATTCTAGTGATATCATACCTCTTCATATTGCATTGCCTTCCTCTCATCCTTATTATTCAAAACATAACTTTTCATGCAATTTACCAGAAGCTTAGCTGCCTAAACTAGAACATACTAAATAAACGGATATACAGCAGAATGGCTATAATAAGCAGTCAATATCCTGAAAAATTTTACCCCCTAAATAAATTCTAATTTAAATCCCTAAATAAAGTGGCCTTCAGCCTTTCATTGGATCTTTTTTACTTTAATGTTATACCCAAATCTAGTAAGACATTATATCCACATTCCCAATTCTACCCAAAACAGATCACAGTAGACAGTATTTAGTAAGCAATGCATTGACAGTGGGGTAAATAAACTACATCGGTCCGCAAATGGAAATAGAAAGGCCTTTGAAAGCAGTGAAACTCAAGAACCCAAAGTGCACAAATGGCATAACATGTTTCCAAAGGGATGAAGAGCTTATTGGAGTTTCCTTATAGATTACCAGGAATCACCAGATCACTGTCACTGTCATTGTCATCCCGTTGTTCATCAATTTACTCGAGTAGGCACCAGTAACGTCTTCATTTGCCCCAGCCCTGAGATTTTTTTAACAGCCTCTTTTTTACTCATCTTTCCCAACACTGCTGTGTTGGAGGCTCTTTCAGGGTCAGGAGAATGAGATCCGTTATTGTTACTGTTTTTGGCACATCGAATACACCACAGAGAGCTTGCCAGGCTCTACTGTGCAGACAGGATACTTTTGATAGCTTGCCAGGCTGAGAGGCATATATATATATATATATATATATATATATATATATATATATACACACACACACACATATTACACACACATATATATACATATATAGATTTCCTCTATTATTTGTTGACTACTGTCTGAACCCCATCAAATATGGTGTGGTAATTATGGAAAATGGGTAGGGAGTGTCTTACGATGTGTCAGTCCAGAAATATGTTCACTCATATAGGCTTGTCTCAAGTGTGTGGAAAGCGGACTGGAATGAGGCAGTGGTTGTGTAGTAGAGGTCAGCTGCTGGGGCCAGGTCCCTTGGAGCAGGGAGGGCTCTCACCCGCCCCCCTCTGGGGTGCCCCAAGTGAAAACAGCATGGTGCCGGAGTCCAGTGGCATGGTTATGGGGCCTCATTATATGCTCCCTTCCGGGAAAAGCAGCTGTGAGTTCTGGAGGGTAGCCAATGAGGAGATTATCTCGTGATTACCAGGAATCACCACATTTAAGTGAAAATTTGATTTGAAAGTCAAAGAAAATTAGGTGTGGTGGGATACAGTTGATATCATTCCCAGAAAACCTATCACACCTTATATGGGAAATGATGAGAAAGAGAATCACACATCTGCAGCTTAGAGGTCAAACAAAACTGAGAACAACTTAGGCATCGATATGATTAATGATAATTATAGAATATCATAAATAATCCATGAATTCATACTGAAATCAAGAAAGAAGTGAGGATTATGGCTGGAGGAAAAGACTGTCATTTTATAACAGAATGCAAATAAATGTAAAATAAGTAATACAGGGAAAAAAAACACAATTTTCTAAGTAACAATGTAGTTATTGACTCAGTATAGGGTAAGCAAATAATAACTTGATGGAAAACAGAATATTTGTTAAGTCTCAAATGACAGATCAAAGATGAGCCAACCTGCCAAAGGATGAGTCAAGCAAAGGGAATGGTGTCTTCACTGGACGCCTCACAGACCCTACTTTTCCCCAAGTGCTCAAATAACCACCAACAGGAGAAACTGACACTTGGGCCTCTGGAGGTACAGCTTTAAGCTCAAGTCATCTTGAAATATTCTCGCCAAAATGTTCAACCTGGATTTTATTATGCAGAAGTCGTCAAATGAAAATTATGGATACCCCATGAAAATTGACTTTGGCTCCAAAAAGCACTGATGTCATGAAAGACAGACTAGCTCTTGATTAAAAAGGAGTTCTTTAAAGATTTAATTCAGGGCCAGCATATTTACAGTGGGTTAGATGCTTGCCTTGCATGTGGCAAACCCAGTTCAATCCCTGACATCACCTAAGGTCACCTGATCACCAGCAGGGCTTACCTCCGAATACAGAGCTACAAATAGCCTCCTTAGTGCTGCTGAGTGCTCTCCACACACCCCACAAAACATTTAATATTTAAATATCAATGGAATTTTTAATGTTTATGCATAAATTTAAAAATTGAACCTACATATAGAATAGCTTGATACTAGTGTTTAATTGGATCCTAATTTTGAATACTAATTTTTAGTAAAAAATTAACGTGGCATATTAAAATTTCTTGTGATTACACACACAACTATAAATTAGATACTCAAATGTAAGAACTTTTAATATTAAAAGAACTTCACAGAGGGGGGTGGAGAGACAGGACAATAGATAGGGCTGTTGTGCCTTGCATGTGGCCAACCCAGCTTCAATGTCTTCATCCCACATGGCCCCACAAATTTGCCAGGAGTGGTCCGTGAGGGCAAAATAAAATAAATAATCCAGGAGTAAATCCTGCGCATCACCAGGTGTGGCCCAAAAACCAAAAGAAAAAAATTTTAAAAGAACTGCACAAAAACCAAAGTTTTAATATTTAAAAATCATAAAAGAGAATAACAAGAACTTGGGAAAGAAACCCTGAAGAGTAGACAACCTAAAGAAAACATGAAAATCACTCTATGTTGTGTTAGCAACAGCTAAGATGAAAGCAATTCTTTTTCAGATACTTCAGAAAAACTCTTTTATACTTGAACGCTGTATATTGTTTCTTAAATGGGGACAAGGCTGTCTATTTTCATATTACCTTTGTATTGATACAATGTGGATCATTTACCTTTGATTTTCTGGCTTCGAGTTGAATATTTCATGCATTGTGATGTACATATAAGTCTTTTCTCAATATTAAAGACATGGTTTGTAGCAGAAGAAAAGATGAAAATATATAAAAGAACTATTTTGTGACATTTGCCAACTATCTATTTTTGGCATTTACTGGTCAAAGAAAATGAAGATTTTCTTATGCTTCTAGCAAAAGTGTATAGATGTTTTGAATCAAGGGTTCTGACCTATTTATTTTCCAAGTGCTAAAAATATTTAAAAAAAAGACCTGAACAAAAGCAAAAAAGCTACTGGATATAAAAGTAGCTAGAACACAATGCTACTTTCATTTTTTTGTCTTCATGTATTATTTACTTAAAAAAACATAATTTTTCTTAAAACATCTTCCTAGATATATTTCTGAATATTATAGTCATGCATTATATAGTTCATGAATTCAATG